AGTCCAGTTGTCGAACCAGAAGTTAAGTTTGACCTCTCCCACTTCCCATATGAATAAACTTTTAGCCACAGTCCTTACCTTTAACATCTTGGATAGTGGAATCATCCAATTTCCTATGAACCTGAGTGGGATGGCTGTGTTTACAATATTTGCCCATCATGAACACATCCCAGAGAGAAGCTTGAGCTCTAAATTTAATCCATAGTTTGCACATATTAAATATTAACATGCATAAAATGAGAGAAGCTTTTGAATCCCAAACCACCATACTTAGTAGCATTACAAGCCTTGCTCTAGCTAGCCCAATCTGATTGTTTCTATTGTCCAAACCACAAGAAACGATTAAAAACTCTATCCTGATTGTTTTGTGTGGATTTCTTCATTACTGACATTTATGAAAAATAAGAAGGAAGAGTAGATAGAACACTTTTCAGTAGAGTGAATCTCCCCCCATTAGACAAATAAGAGTTCTCCCAACATTGTAGTCTATCTAGAATTTTCTCCACAATGTGATCAAATTGAATCTGTTTTGATCTGCTCTTTATAAGAAAAGCACCCAAATATTTGAGAGGAAGTTTATTAACACAAAAGCCAGTGGTTTCAGAAATCCAATGTTTCATAGAAGTCTTAACTTTGTGACTGAACACAGCCACACATTTCTGGGTATTCAAGACCATATCAGAGCTTCTTTGGAACTGATCTAAGCATTTAAGAATATATCTAATAGTAGGCTTAGTTGCTTTAGAGAACATAATAAGATCATCAGAAAAAGCAAGGTGGTTAATAATCACATTATATCTATGATTGTATAGGGAGTTTGGCTCTTTAACAACAATCTCATTTAACAATCTAGATAATAAAACAAGTGTTTGAATAAAAATTGAAGGAGATAGAGGATCACCTTGCTTTATACCGCTGGAGGCACTAAAAAACCCATTGGAGCAACCATTAACAAAAACAGATTGATGATTATTTGAAAGTCATCTACCAATAAGAGAAATGAAGGAAGGAGAGAAACCTCCAGCAGTGAGAACCTCCTCAATAAAACCCTAGTTATTTGTGTCATAAGCTTTCTTGATATCCAATTTGAAAATAGTATTCCCCCTTCTACACTATCTATCTAGATCCAGTACCAGCTCTTGAGCTTAAAGTACATTATCCACTATGCTTCTCCCTTGAACAAAAGCAGTTTAGTTCTCACTGATAATCTGATTAAGATGAGGTTGTAATCTGCTTGCAATAATTTTTCTAATGACTTTGGAGAGGACAGAAGTTCAACTGATAGGTCTGAAATGTTCCCATTTAAACTTTGCTTTATCCTTAAATATCAAATTTATAGTATAGGAGGTGAAATACTTGGGGAGATCAACACCCCAAAAGAAGCTTTGTATAACCACAATGACATCCTTCTTAACAATAGTCCAAGCTTTCTTATAAAAATCAGTTGTAAAGCCATCAAGCCCAGGCACTTTAGAGTTATCAATTGACGATAAAGCCAACCAAGTCTCCTTCTCATCAGGAATAGCAGTAAGATCCAATCTTTTAGTAAATTCCACCCCCTTCCCAAAAACCTCAGGCTGGATAGGAATCCTCTCCATATGAGGATGAGTAAAAATCTCCCTAAAGTAGTTTACTGCACTAGAGGCAATTCCTTCAACATTATCAAGCCATCTCCCATTGTTATCAAGTATCTTATGAGTAGTATTGCACCTTCTCCTGTAGCTAATGCAAGCATGGAAAAATTTAGAATTACTATCCCCCTCACAAAATTTAGCCTTTGCATCTTTCTGTGCATAGAAATCCTCGTGCATTGAAATTGCTTCCATTAGCTCTTCATTGGCTCTAAATAATTCAGTACTCACCTCATGATTCATTTCAAGTAGATGCACCCACTTATGCACAGATTCTTCAGCTTCCTTTACTTTAGCATTAACATCTCCAAACACACTCCAATTCCATTGTGACAGCTATTTTCCCATCTTCTTGTGAAGCAGCCAGAGCTTCATCCAAGGATTGTGATGATTGAAATCTTGCCAAGCTAAATAATCTTAATTTAGAAAGTCACTATGTAAGGACCACATATTCAAGTACCTGAAAGAAGACCTGTTCTTTTTATAGGAGGCAACAATTGTAATCAAAAGAGGTCTATGGTTTGAACCACACATAGCCAGATGTTGCACAGAAGTATGAAGGAACTCATTCAACCAAAAATCATTGACCAAAATTCTATCTAATCTTTCCCAAACATTCCCTCTCCTCTAGGTAAATTTGGGTCCAAAAAACCCCAAATCAAACAACCAAGCTTTTTGAATATTATCATTAAAGGAAATAATCAGATTTAAGTCTAGTAATCTACCCCCCTTATTTTCATTAGGGGAAGCCACACAATTAAAATCTCCCCCCACAAGCCAAAAGGAATTTATATGACTACTGATATCTAGCATATGACACCACAAGTCATTTCTAGCCACTGCTGAACAACCTGCATAGATAAAAGTGGTCAGGCCACTAGTCTTCCCCAAAAAGAAGCTCAAATGAAGGAACTGCTCATTGTACCTGAAAACAGAATAATGAATCTCATTTCTACAAAACATCCATATTTTATTACTCAAATTAGTGAAAAACTGAAAAACCATAGGACTTATTAATAATTTTCTTAATATGTTTAGACAGCAAGGGTTCCATAATAGCATAATAAAAAATTTACGCATCCTATTGAGAGTAAGGATTTTGTTAAGGGATCTAGGATGAGCCAATCCCCTAACATTCCAACACAAAAATTTCATCATCCAAAGGAAGTGGATTTCCCCCTCCTTCTAGCCCTCCCCTCCTTCTAGTTCTGACCCCACAAATAGCCTGTTGAGAAGAACCCTCCCTTTGTGCAAGGGGTAATAACCAAGTTTTTTAGTTGTTGTGTAGTTTTCTTTTTCTTTTAGATTTCTTGACTTGCCAGTCCTCTTCTAAAGCCACATTCATCTACTTATTAAGTGTTCATCCAGAGAATCTCCCCATTTAGGAGCCACCTCCTCTTCTTGAGTCCCCTCCATAATAGGTTGTGTTACCAACACTGATTAATAACCACCTCTTCACTAAGCATAGCTTCAGTAGTAATTTGTAGAGCTCTCTCCAAAATGGTTTCCTTCTCATTAAAATTAGTGTGTTGTGAGTCCATGCCCTGAGCAACAATCATAGGAGCCGAAGGAGTAGTATTCAGTTCAGTCCTGACCGGGGTGGAGTCTGACACCACAGCCTCAGCACCACCATAGAATCAATATTATCTTATTTATCACCATTAGATACATTCTCCTCATCAATCCCCCACACATCCCCATCAATAGTGGCCTCCTGCCTTTTTCTCAAGCTGGGATCAAGTCTAAAATAGCTATTATCAGTATGGCCAAACATTTTACAATGGTGACAGTAATAAGGCCTTTGCTCAACAATAATTTTCAGCCAATATCCATTATGTTCAGTACCAAGACAGATTTCCTCCACATTAGGGAGGGTAATGTCCCTTCCACCACGATCCTAGCCACTAATGGTCTGGATAGATTAAATGTAGGCACATCAAGCTTGAGAGGTCTCCCTAGAGCTAAACCAATAATAAACAGTACTTTATGATTGAAAAAATTGAGCTTAAGCCAAGGCATTTTGAACCAGATGGGAACAATAGGTAATTCCTTACTAGGATCAAAATCTGGTGTCCATTTGATTAGCTTCATAACAATCCAATCAATCAGTATGGACTATTTAGAAAACAGTCTAGCATAGTCCTCCTCTCTGGATAAGTTAGTCAGATTGTGTCTACCATCCAATAAACCTACTCTCCAAGCCGCATTGAATTTTAATTTGTCAAAGAATTTCCTAACAAATGCCATTTTGGGATGCCCCAATTGAAATTTCCTTATAAGAGTAAACTTGCAGTTATCAGCAAAACCCTGAATGTCATTTTCAGAGTAAAAGATGGCCATTTTCCCCCCTTTCCTTACAATAGGCTTAAAAAGTGGATCGGCACCATCATGGTAAGCTTGAGGAAAGACTAGGTCATCATAATTTTTTTAAGGTATCAAAACCATTCCCCACTATGTAACCAAAAGTAGCCTTTGACCACTGGATAGTAGTAGCCAAATCCATAGTGTTTGGATCAGCCGTCAGTAAGCCCAAGACCAGTAGAAAACAAGGAGCAGCAATCCAAAGAGATGAATGGAGAAAAGCCCTCAACTACCCAGTAAAACTGATAGAGCCAGCAAAAGTAACAGAGACAAATGAGAACCTCAATGCACACTAATTTAGAAAGCAAGACCAAAAAGCAGCTAGAAAAGAGTCCACAATAGCAGCTTCCACTAGAAGCATCAAATAAAAAAAATAGTAAGATTTGAAAAACCAAACGCCCGGGAAGAAGAAAAACCTTAGCAAACACAAAAAAGAGGTAATAAGCACTCCAAACACACAAAAACTAGAGATATTAGATGAAAGGCTCCATTTTCCACTACGCAATCATGACAACATAAATCCATTTCGCAGAAACCCTAGCAGAGCACAGGAAAACCCAACCACCATATATATATATATATATATCTATATATATATATATAGACAAAAGTAGGATTATATTAAGCTCAAATAGAAGTTACAACTTTAGGGTGAGGGGCTTTGACTATGTCCCCTTGGAGCAAAAAACTGTGAGAGGGGGTTAGTAAAGAGGATACAATTACATCATGTGATTCCCCTCCCCTCCTTACTAAAAAATTAGCAAGCCTATTACCTTCTCTATATATGAATTTTAAAGTGACTCTTAATTTATCACACATGGAATTGATATGTTTTGTCCACTGATAAATGTGCCAAAGGGGAGTACTTTTCCCTCTAACATAGTCCAATAAGATAGAGGAGTCCACTTCAACGTGCAACATCTTCCAGTTATTGATAAGAGCCAATTTGAGAGCCTAGTACATAGCCACAGCTTAAGATTCTTGGGCATCCACAACTGAAATTGGGGACTAATAGAAGAGTAGAAATCTGCCATTATGGTCTCTGAATACTCCCCCAATCCCAACCCCATGAGAAGAGTAACTTCCATCAGTGTTAACTTTAACAATATGGACAGGAGGTTTGTCCCAAAATACCTTAATTACATAAAATTTCCTTTGACTAGTAGCAGCAGCAATTCTGAGGATGTTAAGAAACTTCTTTAATTGAATAAGTTTACCGATGAAAGCTAAGCAATTGGCAGCCACCTTGCTTGAAGCAGCTGGGATATCATCAAATATTATCTGATTTTTGTCATACCAGAGAAACCAAGCAGCAATAAAAGGTATGGAACCCAAATTAATACTCACCCAGCCCCTCCAACATTCAAAAATGTTCCACCACTCTAAATTCATTGTATCAATCTTCAAGTGTTGTATAAGAGCATTCCAGACCTCTTGAGAGAACTTGTAGTTAAAGAAAAGGTGGCTTACAAATTCCCCATCCTCCTTGCACAGATGATAGATGGAAGGTCTCTTCAAACCTTTATGTTTCAGTATATCATCAATTTGAAGCAATTTATGGAAAATTCTCCCAAAAAAAGAAGGACATGGATGGAGTGAGATATTTATTCCAGAGGCAATCCCCCCAAAGTACCTTCTCCCATTGATATAGTTTGCAATATTTAGTTTTGGTGATGCTTTGATTGGACTTGCCTTCAATCACTAGCTTATCTTCTTGGGATCTGTCAAATGACAGTTTAGAGACCCTTTCAATAGTTGTATGATCAAGAAAAGAGATAAGAAAATCAACAGACCAAGAGTTGCCCTCCCAGCAATCTTCCACCAAAAGATCAGTGTCACACTCCCCAGATGGAGGATTAATGAAGTTATCTCGACACCATCTATCCAGCCAAAAATTAAGTTTCCATTTCCCAATGTCCCATATAAATAGATTTTTTGCCTTAGTTCTTACTTTCAGGAGGTTGGCCCAGATTCTAGAATCCCCAGTCTTTCTGGAAACCTGCTTTGGATGTGAATATTTGTTGTATTTAGCCCACATAAGCTTGGACCATAAGGTGTTTTGCTGTCTAAACTTAAGCCATAATTTACATAAACTCAATTGTTGTAATTTTTGAAACCCTTTAAAGACCAGACCCCCGACAAATTTTGGTTTGCCAATTTTCTGCCAACTTGCCCAATGTAGTTGCTTCCTCTGGCTTGCCCAAACAAATCTGTTGAAAGTCCTATCTAGTAATGGTTGATTGTGCTTCTTCATCAGACCCATTTGTAATATATAAGAAAGAAATGAAGTTAAGATGCTTCTCAATAAAGTTATCCTGCCACCATTAGAAAGAAAGGAGTTAGTCCATCCTTGCTAAGTGGAATTAGTTTGGTTGACTACCTCATCAAAGTGAGTAAGTGTGGTTCTCCCTTTAAGCCCTTTAAGTAGAGGCACCCCCTAAGTAGAGGCACCCCCAGATACTTAAAAGGCATAGCCATGGTAGAGACACCCATGAGTTTGAGAGTCCATTGTTTGGTAGACATAACAGTCCTCTTGCTGAAGAGAATCTGACATTAATATCAGGTCAGACACAACTTGGAATTCCTACAGGCAATTATGTAAAAGTCTGGTGGCAGCTCTAATGGCCCTGGAAAAAATAATTATATCATCAACATAGATGAGATGACTTATATCCAAGGTAAACTTATGATGGTAATTTGCATATTTTTTTCCTTTGGGATTGTCTATCCATCAATCTAGATAAGTAGTCCAGAGCCAAAATGAAGATGTTGGGAGACAAAGAATCTCCTTATTTTAGTCCTCTAGAGGTAGTAAAGAAACCATGAACTTGTCCATTGACAAATACAGAATGAGCATTACCCATCAACCATCTTTTAATGATCTGGCAGGAGGTCAAAAAGAAACCCCTGGACTTCACAGAGGCCAAAACAAACTCCCAGTCTATTAAGTCATAAGCCTTTTAAGCCTTTTTTAGATCTAATCTAATTTATAGATCAAATTTTTCGATGTAAGGTTTATCCAAATCATTTAATAACTCCTAGGTGAGGAGGAAATTATCACCAATGTATCTCCCCTTACAATGGCAGCTTGTTTTGGACTTATCAGTTGTGTTAGATGGGGTTGGAGTCTCCTTACGAGTAACTTGCTTATTAATTTGGAGACCACATTTTTCAAGCTGATGGTCCTTAAATTATTCCACTAATCTTTCAAGAGATTTGGGAACCATAACAATTGTGCTAGCACAGAAATACATGAGCAGATATATATATATATATATATATACCCTCCCCTCCTTA